TTGGCCCAACAGATAAAACTTTATTGATATTTATAGAAAAAAAAACTAAAAAAAATTGAAAGCTGTAAATGTCCATAAACAGCTCAAAAAGAGCCAAAATATTTTCAAAATTGTATGGTGTATAGGAAATGCTAATATAAACATTCAGTGAAATTTTCATGTATCTACAAATATTCGTTTTTGAATTACAACAAAATAAGGAAATCGCTACATAAGAAATCGAGTGAAAATCCAATGTTGTAAAAATTTGAATTTCAAACGCTCATAAAAATTTAATTTGACTGTCCGGTAGAGATTTTTTTATTGATAAAGGTAGATAATCTTATAAGGAATCTTGTGTTTCATTTTCAAATCTTAGATTTAAAAAGAAAAATTTTTACGAATTCTTAACTCAAAATAATTTGCTATTTTTCGTGATTTTTCCATATTTTGTCAAATTTTGAACTTTAAATGCTTATAAAAAAAAACTGTGACTGAGGATTTTTATTGTTTTTCATCTGCCTTTGAAACAATAATATACTAGGAGCCTTCTATTAAATTTTCAAGCTTTCGCAACCAACAAATAAAATTGTATTGATATTTTTAGAAAAAAAACTAAAAAAATTGGAAAATGAAAATGTCCCTAAACAGTTCAAAATAAATCAAAATATTTTGAAAATGTTATCGTGTATATGTAATGCAAATATAAACAGCCAGTGAAAATTTCATGTATATACGTTCATTTTTTTTAGAGTTACACCAGAAACCAAAATCTATTTTTTGGAAAACCGATTTTGCGTAAAAATTCCAGTTTTCCTTAATTTTTATGTTGTTTTTCCCGGCGCTTGTGAAATCTATTGGGAATTTTAAATTTTGACCCCCCCCCCAATGCACCAACGATATTCACTTTCCAATCGAACAAGATACTGAAGTCGAAAATCGAAGCATTATTTCGACTACTTATCGTGTACACAGACACAAAAAAAAAAAACACACATCATTGTAAAATCAATACATTCATCGCTCCGCTCAGAATCAAAAATTTGGGCAAGTGGATACCGCTCTGATAATCTGATGTATATTAGTTGTTGTGTAGGTCATTGTAATGGAAGTGTTTAAATTAATTCAATGATACAAAATCATTGAATAAGAAAAACGATTTTGATCGAAAACGTTCTGTTAGCTTATATTATACAAAGTACCTACCTACCTACATTTAATTTTATTAATGCTAATAAAGTATTAAGTAATTTATTTTACTATTTCTAAAACAGTACCTACCTAGGTTACATTCATTATTTCCGAAAACATTTGATTTGATACACTTTATACATTTCAAGTATAATCACAACTAATCGTTATTATTCGTTTATATATGTTGATTATATTGATTATACATAAGTTTTAATATTTTTTTAGAGTTTTTCTGTTACAGACTACACGAATTACTTTATGAGAAACCTAGTTTAAAATATTCAATCCTTTGCTATATCCTTATAGTTTTATAAAATCTGAACATTTTATACATTTGAATGACTGATGAATGATGAATATTGTTAAAATTTGAACTTAAGACGCTCGCATGTCTCCATTTTGTACACTAGCGTAACATAACAAATTTGAGCTCTGCAGATTACGTTTAGCTCAGTTTGTTTAAAAATTAGAGTGAATCGACCTATTATGAAAGTTGGTGGTAAGAACATTATCTATGTTCGTATGTTGGTTTTTTTTACTATAGTTCAATTTTTTAGAAAGTTAAGTGTATATAACATACCTTAGATTAAAAATGCTCATAGTTTACTTAAAAACTGAATAATCGTAAAAAATCAATTTATGAACACATAATGATTTTATATCATCAAGTTTCATAATAGGTCGATTCACTTCAATGTTTAAACAAACGGAGCTCAACGTGATCTACTGAGCGAAAATTTGGTATAATATGGTAAGCGCTTGTAAGACGGAGACAACACATTAGTAAAATGATTATAAAAAAAAATCACGCCTATATAATATTTTCGAACTGCTATTTCCAATACTTATGAGTTATGACTTATGAGTAATGAGTTATGAGGAACCTTGTATAAACTATTTTACCTAAGATATAAATAGAATAATTTAAATCGATATTTATTGAAAAAAAACTAAATATCTCAAAAAGAGTCATAGTATTTTTTCTAAAATTATACTGTTTATAGAAAATGCTACTATAAATATTCGGCAAAAATTTCAAATAGGTATTTACGATTATTCGTTTTTGAATTACAATGAAATAAGACATATTTTGTTACAAGCTAAAAACCTTAGTAGTTGATGCTGTAACATGAATAAAAAAAATAAAAAAAATAAGAAAATAATTTCATGAGACATCAGGAGAATCTTATGACGTAAAAATTTAAACTTCAAACGATCGTCAAAAATTAATTTGACTTTCCGGTCAACTTTTTTTATTGTTAAAAGTAGGGAAACTTATGAGGAATCTTGTAGTATATTTTCAAATCTTAGACATATAAAAATAAAATTTATGACTCAAAATAATTTGCCAGTATCCGTGATTTTGACGAATTTTGTTAAAATTCTAACTCCAGAGGCTCATAAAAAATTCTTTTGAGCTTATACTAAATATTTTTTTTTAATTTCCTCTAGTAAAAACTTATGAGGAACCTTGTATTTTTTAAGATTTTTAAAATTATTTATCGAAAACAGTTAAAATAGATAAGTACTAAAAAAAATCTAAATTTTCTATAAATAAAATAAAATTCCTAAGAATACCTATAAATACCTAGCTTAAAACTACCTATTCAAAATATTATGAACATTCTATGGTGTATATAATATACTAATATATACAAATTTTAGTGAACATTTCATATTTTCATGTATCTACGGTTATTTAGAGTTACACTAAAAATTAAAAAACATGATTTTGTCAAAAACTGATTTTAAGTAAAAATACCCTTTTTTTCTTTATTTTTTTTTGGTCTTCTCGGCTTTTGAAAACTCCTGGGAATTTTTTACTCTTACCTCTCCAAAATACTAACTAGATTCGCTTTCCTACCAGGAAAGATGCTGAGGTAGATAATCGAAACATTTTTACTGCCTTAAGAGAACGTGATGACAGACACAAAAATAAAAAAAAACAAACATATCATTGTAAAATCAATACATTCATTGACCCGCCCATAATATAAAGTGTAAAATCTTTAAATATTAATATTACTAGTTTAATAATAATTAATTATAATTTATAATAGTTTTATGCGAATCATGATCTGATGATATATATTATTATATTATTATTATTATTATTATTATTAATATTGTCTATGGGCACGTCCAGGCTACGCGATAACAGTGATACGTGTTATCTGGTGCACATGTTCAGAGGAAAATCTAAAAGCTACAACTTATCACTGACTTCTCGACTTTCGATATTAGTTTTTAATATTCACATAACATTTACATTCTATCTTAGACTGTTCTTTGATTCTATATGACTAATAAGCACGATTCAGACTGAATTCAGTATTTCTCACTTTTCAAAGGCTCCAGTCTAAGTTTTTGCATTTTGGGTTCACATTTACAGTGCCGTGAGCAATCATTTATTTAAGACTTACAAGCATCCACCATACAGTGCTTGCAGTTATTCAGGTAATGTATTTAAACCACCCTCCGTGTTCTGTATTCAAACTCATTTGTTTTGTAGCTATTTTAAAGTATCGTTTCAGAACATCGCATAACTGTAATATGTTTGTTTTAGTTATACGAGTAGTTTCGATACAAATGTAGTAGTTTTTTTTTTTTATCTTAGGTAGATCGTTATCGTATTGTGTTTGGGTCAGCTATGGCTTGTCCGTAAATCAAATGGATATAAATTTCCTTAACCATTAACTATAATGGAAATAACTATTGTTAAATCAAACAGTTTAATTTCAATCATTCATACTTTAAGTATACCTATTGGCTATTGTTGAATAAAATTGTATTTATTTCCTTATTAATTTAATGTATTAATTTCTAAGTAAAATATATTAATTATTTATTTGTATTAGCGTATTGTAAAGTATAAGGATATATAAAACGTATATTCAATTGATAATAATATTATATTATAGCTCAGCCATGGTAGAAATATAAACAATAATCTTAACATAAATGTATATATAAAAAAAAAGTGGGTAAATTGATGTCGCTGTGCTGTACAGTAGGTTACGATTGGGTCAATGTATAAAGGATTGTATTAAACTTGAATTCAATGATATAATATCATTGTATAAGAAAAACGATTTTGAGCGGAGACGGTTTCCTGTTTGGATATTGTTATTATTTATTATATTTTGTAAGTTGAATTTATATTATAATAGGTATTATTATTTTTCATTCGTTTCTATGGTGATAAACAAAGCATTAGAAATTAAAATCCCATTTTTAGCGGTTTTTCGTAATTTGTTGGTAGTTTTTCCTGCCCAATTAAATAAATATTGAGAAAATCGAAAAATTACCCTTTTAAAGTACCATCTTGATCCAATTTGCTAAAAGATAAGGTACTATATGTTGAAATCAAAGCACTCATTCTAGTAGATATTTTCTATACAGGAAAAAAAAAATAAACACTATTGTTAAACCAATAGCTTCCTCGCTTCACTCAAAATCTAAAATAACCAATATTTCATACACGGCCCATTTAACAATAATATGTTGTTAATTATTTACATATTACCTATACATATTTTAGAATTCTGTCTGCTAGAGATTGATGATCCAATAGTCTAGTTTTATCGTTTTATGCACTGCAAGTAGAATTCAAAAATATGTATAGGGTACTGAGTAATCGGGAAAATTTAATTATACAGTATACTCTGTTTTCACGGATACACAATATAATATATATATTTTCATAATATATTCCTATAATTTAAAATGAGAATTTATCCTTCCTCATTCATATTTTTAAAATAAGAATCAATGACAAGTTAGGTTTTAAAAAAAAAATTTTAAAGGATTTTTTTTGTTACAGCATAATGTTAAGATCTTTAATATTAACTAGAGGAATACATATATCCAGTGCAAACTGGTCATCTAGCAAAGCACAACTTTTAAAATTAAGAAAGAAAACAGGATATCCATTTGAAAGCTGTAAAAAGGCTTTACAATTAAATGATAACAGTTTAGAAAAGGTAAAAACAATTTCTTCATATAATTTGATATATTGTAAGTTATAATATATATTTTTGAACAGTCAGAGGTATGGTTAAAAGAAGAAGCTCAAAGGCTAGGATGGGCAAAAGCTAATAAACTTGCCAACCGTGCCACAGCCCAAGGAGTTATTGCATTTGCAATTGATAATCAAAAAGAAGTTGCTACTATGGTGGAAGTGAATTGCGAAACTGATTTTGTGGCTCGTAACAAGTGTTTCCATTCTGTTGTTGAAGTTGTCACTTCATCTTGTTTAGATTTTGCTAAACAACAAAAAGCCTTAGAGAATTCATTTTCTAAGGTAGGTACATACATAATCTTCAGCTAAAAGCTTTGTCATAATATTACCTGATTTTAGGTAAATTTAAAAAGTGGCGATTTAATGGAGTTAAGTGGTGCTGAAGGCAAATCACTGGCTGATCATGTTGCAGTTACAATAGGTAATCTTGGAGAAAATGTTACTCTCAGACGTGCCACATGTTTAAACACTAGAGACACTGGTTTGAATATTATGGGTCTTACTCATCCATCAAATACAACTGGATCTCAATTTCTTTCCGGTAAATACGGATCACTTCTAATTTACCGTAAACAACAAGATGGTGAAAAAATGAATCAAAGGTCTATGGAGAGTTCTCATGATGAAATTCTTCGTCAAATGTGTCAACATGTTATTGGTAAATACATTTTTCTATTTATTCATATTTTATCCAAACTTATTTAATTTGTATAAATTAGTGAGACATTTATGTAAAACAAATTAAAGTGTTTACTTTTTATTTAGGTATGAATCCAAAAAATGTTGGAGTACTTAATATACATGAACCTATCAAATCTCAAGAAGTGGTGCCTGCTAAAACATTTAATGAAAATGATGATTCATCCATGGATAGTATAGATGAAAAAAATTCAGACTCTACCATTGAAGAAGATGGCATGCTTGAACAAGCTTTTTTATTGGACCCATCTATAACTGTAGGACAAGTAGCAACCGATTATGGAATTGATATACTAGATTTTGTGCGTTACGAATGTGGTGAAACATAATTACTACATTTCTGTGTATATAAATCAATTTAAATTTAATTTTTAATAATCATGTTCAACTGCATTTTATTATAGTTTGATAATACTAGAAATTATAAAATAATGTTTTATTTTTTATTTTTATTTTCTGTATTAGAAAATAATTATTTATTATTGCGTATATTACGGTTCTACCTTATATTTTTATTAATGAACATCTTATAGTTCAGAAAACTAATTTTTTAATAATAATTTTCATAATATCACAGTCTAATTTATAAGATGCTATACCGTTTGGGTTATTTACAAAAAAATATCTAATTGTTATTTAATAACTTTTCATTAGTAACTTAACATTAAAATATTAAAAACTGATCTTTTGACCACACTTGGTGTTACAAATACCTTGGTTATATATTCTTAGTTTAGTAAGACACTCAAAGTGTTACTATTAAATGGTGTAATTCTATCAAAATGTCTAGTATTGCCAGTTTCTTTGTTAAGCCATTTTATATTCTCTACAAGCTATTTAGCCATATATAAATTTATTTTTTTGACACTTAATGTTGACAGTTACAGCACAAATAAGTATTCATTCTTTTTAACTTTTATTTATGTCTAAATTATATTTGACCTATTATGAATCTTGATTATCATTAATTCATTAACATTATCTGTATTTGTATGTGGGTTTTTACAATAGTTCAATTTTTTAACAAGTTATGCGATATAATATAGCGTAAATTTAAAATGCTTATAACTCACTTAAAAACTTAGTTAGGTATTATAAAAACCCAAAAACTATGAATGCCAATTATTTTTAAAAAAAAGTTCTCTCATCTCCAAGTATAATGAAATATAAATATATGTATGCTTGAATAAAGCTTGAAAAAAGATTTCAATAAATTATTGTTCTATCCAAAGCATACTTTCTGAGATAAATTATAATAATATATTAAGGAAGTAATTAATTAATTATTAACGACCTGTGTTAAATCCCGGAAAGAAATACTAAAGTTTTAGCCTAAGTAGTATTAATGTTCATAGAGTAAACTTTTTCCAATTCAGCTCTACACGATGGGCATTGGTATACCTCAGAACCGAATGATCCTTTTAAACATCCCTAATAAACAATAGAAATATTAGTTTATATGTAAAACAAAATAAATCTTAGCCACAGGCTTACTTTACGAATGTTGTGAGTAGATTGTAATGTAATTAATTCAAAGATCAATATCTAGACAACATACGCTTATAAAAGTTTCTTCAACTCTATTAAAAAATATCTATAAGGGAAATTAATTACAATATAAATTTGTTGTAAATTAAGAATTATTTTTTTTAGCTTTTGAGTTAATACCGACTTATTGTGGAGCGGTGTACATGTAGGTTTGTGGTGGAAATAGGCAATATCATAAAATATACTTAAACATTCAATCTGTTTATGTGTAGGTACAAGAAATATTGATAAATATTTTATGTACCTATATTAATATATTTAAATTTTTTGTAAAAAAAAGTTGATCATTTATTTCCCGACCTATTTTACATGAACATTTTAATTTAATTTAAGTCAATATTTTAATACCAGGGTTTTTACACCACATTTAGAAGATAAGTCACTTTACATATTATTTTAATGGATTTTAAAATTCAATATTTTCATGGTTTATGTACACCTTGTCTGTGTGGATGACAGGGCTTAAAATTAAAATATTTTGCTACTGCACACCTACTTCCAAATATTTTAACTTCATTGCATAATTGTTTTTGCTATTCATTAATAATTAGCTATAATAAATATAATCTAAGACAATCTTCTATAAAACTCCTTGAGTTCATTAAATTGCATTTTTAACTACCTATTTCCCAATTGGTGAATTCCATATGGAATAATGTCTTTTGTTTGAAGAATCAGCACTTACTATGAATATTTTAAAATGAATTATTAAATCATAAATATATTTTATGAAAAATACACAATTGTTCATTTATACCATCTATATAGCAACTATATTTATAACAAACTTGTTATTATATTTACCATGATTAAATGTCTCATGAGTTTCAAATAAGGCCCTTTTCGCAGAAAAAAACTTATTAGGTGTATTGTTTTTATCCTTTGATTGTGATATTACAAGTGGCTGAGGAAAGTACTGATTTTTATATGCAATCATTCTTTTGGTTGGAGAATTTTTCACAGAACTATTACATTTTGTTGATATACAAGTAGACAAAGCGTTTTCTGAAAGTAATAATAAGTACGATGGTACACATGGTATTGTAGAATAATTGTATATAATAATTGTATAATTTACTAACTATTTAAACTGTTCAAATTGGATGGTTGGATGTATTCTGGGTCTTTATCAGAATCATATAAATTTTCGTAAATTTCTTCATGGTTAAAATTTGCATTGAATAGACTATTCAATTTATTATGTTTTTTCTGTATATCTGTCAGAATTCAATGTATCAATATTAATGTAATTCATAAAGTATTTTAGAGTGATACTTCAATATAAAATTACAAATACATTACCTTTTGTTAGTAAATTTTGGAGGACTTCTCATTTTTTTAGAAATTTACTTATTTCCTTCATCATCACAAGATGATATCTCAGTTTTTGACATTAGTTCATCAGCATTTTTAGTTGCTTCACTATAACTTTCAAATTAAATACATTTAAATTAGACAAGATAAAATCAGTAGGAATAAAGTTATTAATACTTCTTACTGAACTGTACAACAACTCTCGATGGAAACCATTTATATTCTACATCATTAGGATAACTTCTTTTTTCGATTAATCTTCTTGCCGTTTTTTTTTTAAAAAAATTAAGAAATTCTATAAAAAAAGTATGTGTGTTACCAGTACGCGCGCGGGAAGTTAAACTTCTTTTGAATGGTACTAATTATTTATGATTGATAGTTTTATTATTTTTTTTATATTTTTATTCGACAGATCGATGGATAATTGTTTGTAGTATTGTTTTTATCCAGACAATAGATTTATGAGTGAATAATAATAATAATAATAATAAAAATAAATAATAATCGATCATTAAATATTCATATTAATTAGTATGGGCCAAGATAGTTTTATGAATCTGTTTTAGATTCTGAGTGAAACGATGAATGTATTGATTTTACAATGATGTGTGTTTTTTTTATTTTTTTTTGTGTCTGTCATCACGTTTTAGGACAGTAAAAGTGCTTTGGATTTTCTTCATCAGTAGCTTTTCTGATGGGAAAGTGAATCTAGTTGGTACTTTGGGGGGTCAAAAGTATAAATTTCCCAGTAATTTTCACAAGCGCCGAGAAAAACAACATAAAAATTAAGGAAAAACGGTGATTTTTACGCAAAATTGGTTTTCCAAAAATGAAAAAATCGCTTTTGGTTTTTGGTGTAACTCTAAAACAAATGAACGTATATACATGACATTTTCACTGGTTGTTTATATTTGCATTTTCTATACACGATAACATTTTCAAAATATTTTGATTTATTTTGAACTGTTTAGGGACATTTTCATTTTCCATTTTTTTTTAGTTTTTTTTCTAAAAATATCAATAAAATTTTATTTATTGGTTGCGAAAGCTTGAAAATTTAATAGAAGGCTCCTAATATATTGTTTCAAAGGCAGATGAAAAATATTAAAAATCCTTAGTCACAATTCTTTTTTATAAGCATTTAAAGTTCAAAAATTGTAAAAATATTTTTCTTTTTAAACCTAAGATTTGAAAATGTAATACAAGATTACTCATAAGTTTGTCTACCTTTATCAATAAAAAAATCTCTACCGGAAAGTCAAATTAAATTTTTATGAGCGTTTGAAATTCAAATTTTTACAACATTGGATGTTCACTCGATTTCTCATGCAGCGATTTCCTTATTTTGTTGTAATTCAAAAACGAATAACTGTAGATACATGAAAATTTCAATGAATGTTTATATTATCATTTCCACCTAATAGTTGCCATTGGTTACAGTCTACATTAGAAATTAGCATTTATTTATTGGTTGCCATTGGTTATTCGGGCAGATCAGGTACAAGCTTGCATCAAATCAAATTATTGAACATTGCCTACCAGGGTGGCTGAGTTGCACTTACCTCAGCAAGTTACACCCAAAAGGAGTTGAACAATCATAATTTTTTTAAGAGTTGTGATTTTTTACGAGCAACCAAATTTGTTATATTAATCCACCGTATTATATCAAAATAAACTTGGTATAACTTTGATAATTTAGAGTTAAATACTTAAATCATACACTTCCGTACAAACAGCACGGGGTCCGCGATCTACCGCAGGTAGATTGCCTACCTGATAATGTACTGCTGCGATTCAGAATTTTTATTCCGGGCAACGGAAAAGATAAGATCAATTTTGAACACCATACACCGAATATTGAATAACGAATTGAACAAAGTTTGAGTCATAACTCATATTGAGTTGATACATTTAAAGGGCGACGAAGTGCACGGGATCAGCTAGTATTATATATTATAATCGGGCCATACTAGTTAACATGAATAATTAATGATCGATTATTATTTATTTTTATTATTATTATTAGTATTCACTCATAAATCTATTGTCTGGATAAAAACAATACTACAAACAATAATTATCAATCGATCTGTCGAATAAAAATATAAAAAAAATAATAAAACTATCAATAATAAATAATTCCGGATACTTATTCTCATTTTTTAAATTAATTAATATTTTTTTCTTTCTTTTTCACTCACTCACGTGTACCATTCAAAAGAAGTTTAACTTCCCGCGCGCGTACTGGTAACACACATGGTTTTTTTTATATATCTATGATTGTATCACGGTTTTTGTTGATGTATAACGCGTTACCAGTACCTAATGGATATTGTGATATGATTAATTTCGAATTTATTATAGGTACCTACCTATTATAGGTCAATTTTTTGTTTAATACCATAGATATGTTTATAATATGTCTTATACATAAACTGACATACCGTCTCCGCTCAGAATCATTTTT